TATTGTGCAAACAATCATCAAATGAGGAGTATTGTAAAAGTATAATAATAATAATAATAATAATAATAATAATAATAATAATAATAATAATTTATTCTATTAAAAAATACAAACATGCTATAGGGACATGGTGAAAAACAGATTAAACAACATGTGTGCCACGTGTCGACACACGATTGAGCAGTTTGAAAAATAAAAAAAAGACACTCAATCAACACTTGCCACATCACTTTGTTTTTTCCCATTCTGTTTTTAACCCTGGACAAGGAGAATAATTCTAAAAAAATATATAACACAAATGATACAAATACCATCCATCAATTATTTTGGCAAATGGGAAAAAAGGGTAAATAGACTTTGCATCCATTTGGTGCAAAGTGGGTTAATGACGAAAAGAAATTAAGGGAATTGTGTTTTTTTTTTTGGTTGGTAAACAAATAAAAACCTATACGTTGTCATATACATGTACCACCACATGTTATTCTAATATTTCCTTTAGATATGGGTTTCTCTATTTTCTTAATCCTATAAGATGCAAGGTCCGGTGGCTGGATCATAACTGCAGTCGGACTGCAGTTGTTGGTGGTGTGATTATCGAGAAAAAGAATGAAATTAGTACGAAATTTTCTGGTGGTAGGATGGTAGTCCGGTTCGTGCGTTTTTGTCCGTTCAACGTGTTTCTGTACGTTTTCATTTGTTTTGTGGGGGGTTTTTTTTTTATTTAAATGTTATTTGTTCGAAAAAATTAGTAGTAGTAAATATGGAATTTTAAAAGTAACAAACATTTATTAAAAAAAAGGACGAACCGCATCCTTCGCAGCCCCCACCTGCCCTCCCCTGGACCTTGGTGAAGGAGGTAAATCGCATGTTATGCCTCCAAGGGTATGAGGTAAAAGACTGTTTGTACACTTGCACTTACCCAAGAGCCAAATCCATATTTTAGGATTCGAACCCTTGACGGCGCAGCCTCAAGCAAAGCTGGAGTTCTTCCACCTTCCCCTTTTACTACTTGGAGATGTGCCCTGGGGGCAACAAACATTTATTTCTTGAATTAAAGAAGGTTGATCAAGAAAATATTGAAGAGATTCAAGAACTTCAAGATTTGTTTCCATCTTCTGTTCAATTTCGGGTGATGTTATATCTTTCCAATTGTGTTTTCTGTAATTAATTTGATGTTTGAATAANACATGTTATTCTAATATTTCCTTTAGATATGGGTTTCTCTATTTTCTTACCCCTATAAGATGCAAGGTCCGGTGGCTGGATCATAACTGCAGTCGGATTGCAGTTGTTGGTGGTGTAATTATTGAGAAAAAGAACGAAATTTTCTGGTGGTAGGATGGTTGTCCGGTTCGTGCGTTTTTGTCCGTTCATTGTGTTTCTGTACGTTTTCATTTGGGGGGTTTTTTTTTTATTTAAATGTTATTTGTTGGAAAAAATTAGTAGTAGTAAATATGGAATTTTAAAAATAACAAACATTTATTTCTTGAATTAAAGAAGGTTGATCAAGAAATCATTGAAGAGATTCAAGAACTTCAAGATTTGTTTCCATCTACTTTTCAATTTCGGGTGATGTTATATCTTTCCAATTGTGTTTTTTGTAATTAATTTGATGTTTGAATAA